ACATGCCTTTGTTCAGCCCCATTGCAAGGATGCGGTTTTGCAGCCGATGCATTGCAGGCGTTTAAATAGCAATGAACCATGACAGGTTTAAATTACCAAATTAGATGCGTAGTAGTAAGGAGCGGTGGGCATCACCCTACGAATCCGGTATTTGCAAATGAAATATAGTACACACACCTCTGCTTCCGGTGAAGACATTTTAGGACTCATACTGATAGATCATTATGATAACAACCGACCAACGTTGACCAACGAAACATATGTGGGAAGCCGTGATTCGCTGGCGATGTTCACCAAACAAAAGTTGCAGTTTTTGACATGCAAAAAACGTTATTGTGCCTTCTTGATGTTAATTATGTAATCAGAATGTATGCTGCTCATATTTAAATTAATTACATCAGTTTAGCACTTTCCACACCAGCTGTCAAATTAGCAAGGATATCGCAGCTTTACAGGCTCGTCTGTCCCTTCGGTAGCTCCCTTAAAAGCAATATCGAGAATAAAGCTGTATCGAGAAAAATTGTATAGTAAAGCAATCTTAGCATTTTCTCTTATTCATACATCATAAAATTAGTCTTGTTGGAGACATTCGCTATTTTTTATGGATATGCACTTATCGTATATAGATTTATCAATTACTAGCACAATTACTTACAAATTCTTTCAAGGAATTGAAGACTCGCAGACGAGGATGCGTGAGGGTGACACGACTGTAGGTTTCACCGTATTTCCAGTTCTTGGAAAACTGAAATGAACAACTTCGCTGATGCAACACGAAATATCCTCAAGGACCAACACCTTACCTTGCTGCTGGCCCATAAATCGTGGAAATGCTGCGCGAATCGATCTACCATCAACTGCATTTCCGGATTGAGGTTGATTTTTGACACGTCGACGGGGTTTGGCACCCAACCGTGATCGCCCTCGTCGCTCTTGCCTATAAGAACGTCGTCCTCCGCCGACCACTTCATGGCATAGTCCGGCGACAGAGCCGACGCGATAGCCGTCAAACACGACAATGCATGGTCAAAAAGTTCATTGTCATATGCCTGAAAGTTCCTTCATCATTCTGATCAATGTATGACCAGTAATTTAATTTTCTGACACTGTGTTTCTTGAGATCATCTCCCTAAGTCATTTGCATAAGCAGAACGTTCTCTGATTTGTCATGTCTACTGTATTCACAGTGTTTAAAAAACTTTTTGCTAGAAGGCACCGCTTACTCCTTCATAGATATTCCTTCCGAACGTAAATCTGTCTCTACTTTGTTGCTTCATGCTGTAACATGGCATCAGAAACCACGTCTGCTGTGTCTGAAACTCTAACATGGAAAACTTCAACGTTGGAACAAACGGTTTATGCTTGAATGGTTTATCTAACAGAGCAAACATACTCTTCACTTCATCTGACGACCCTTGTCCCTGAAAGAAAGCTGAATCATTTATAAGGTGATCTTGCCACCTAACCCTCGTTATGCGTCCAAGCCAACGCCGCCTAAGCCCTTCAACCGTCGTTCTGCCTCCTTCGTTAGAACGACTGTTTCCATGCCGCATAACAACACTGACCTGACCGAGGCATGATACCGAT